CCCGACCCCAGTGACCCCATGACCCTAGCGACCCCAGTGACCCCCATGACCCCCTGATCCCTGTGATGCAGTGACCCCCATGACCCCAGTGACCCCATGACCCCCTGATCCCTGTGACCCCACTGACCCTAGTGACCCCAGTGACCCCATGACCCCCTGATCCCCATGACCCCCTGACCCTCATGACCCCAGTGACCCCCATGGCCCCCATGATCCCTGTGACCCCATGACCCCCAGATTCCTATGACCCTCATCACCCTCGTGACCCCAAAGCCCTGACCCCCTGTGACCCACTGACCCCAAGACCCCATGGCCATGTGGCCCCTGTGACCCCTGACCTCTGACCACAGCGCTGCTGGTTCGGGTGCTGGAGCAGAGCGAGGCTGGGCCCTTCCTGGCCTTCGAGCTGGAGATTCTGGAGGTGTTAATGGGAGGTGAGACTGGGGGGACTGGGAGGGGGGAACTGGGGAGACTGGGAGGGATTGGGACGGAGACTGGGACACACTGAAGGGCCACTAGGGGGCACTGTGAGACCATACTGGGTGACTGGGATGTACTGGGCCATACTGGGGGGCACTAAGATGTACTGGGCCATACTGGGGTGGCATGAGGGAGACACTGGGCCATACTGGGAGAGCCTGAGAGTGAACTGGACTGTACTGGGAAAGCTGGGGTGAGGGCTGTGCTGCACCAGGGAGGAGATTACTGGTTCTTATTGGTGCTTACTCTTTATTACTGGTGCATACTGGTGCATACTAATTCTTACTGGAGCTTACTGGCCTCAGGAATATGGTTTCGTGGATTTTTGTTGCTTATTTCTTATTTATTTTTGTCAGAGTTGATGGTTGGGCTGGACCATCTTTAAGGTCCCCTCCAACCTTGACGATTCTGTGATTATTGCTTTGAAGTGGTGCTGACTGGTGCTTACTAATTCTTACTGGTTCATACTGGTTCTTTTTGTTTCCTATTGATTTTCACTGGTGTGTACTGGTTCTCACTGGTGCATGCTGCTTCTTACTGGTGTGCACTGGTTCTTACTGGTGCATACTGCTTCTGAGTGGTGCATGCTGATTCTTACCGCTGCATACTGGTTCTTACTGGTGCATACTGCTTCTAAATGGTGTACGCCGATTCTTACTGGTGCACGCCGATTCTTACTGGTGCATACTGGTTCTTTTTGTTTCCTATTGATTCTCACTGGTGCGTACTGCTTCTAAATGGTGCACGCCGATTCATACTGGTGCACGCCGATTCTTACTGGTGCACGCCGATTCTTACTGGTGCATACTGCTTCTTTTTGTTTCCTATTGATTCTCACTGGTGTATACTGGCTCTTACTGGTGAATACTGCTTTAAATGGTGCACACTGGTTCTTACTGGTGCACAGTGATTCTTACTGGTGCGTACTGGTGCTTACTGCTTCTAAGTGCTGCAGACTGGAGCACACTGGTGTGCAGTGGTTCTTACTGGGACAGGGCGGTGCACAGCGGACGCCAGCGGCCGTAGTGGGTGGGCGGTGGCCGTACTGGTGCCGACTGGTCCGTTCTGGTGGCAGAGGTGGCCGCGGGGGGCCGGGGCCGGCTGCTGTTTCGGGGCAGTTGCCCCCTGAGGCTGCGCCCCCAGCGGCGGTTCCTGCTCATGGGGGGGGAAGGGTCAGTGGCCGGGACCAGCCAGAGGTGAGGGGGGACCCTGTCCCCAAATGTCCCCATGTCCCTGTGTGACACCTCCTCAGGTCCCGCCATGTCCCCCCATGTCCCCTTGTCCCCC